ATTCTTCCCCTCCCTGGTTTTCTGTGAGCCGCCCTGAGTCCCCTCAGGGAAAAGGGCGGCATACAAATGTTAATAAAACCAAAACCAAAACCAAACCTATTCTTGATTTAGACAATAGTTTTGAACATTTTAAAATATTTTTAATTATAGTTAAAATGTTGAAATATAAAAGGAGGAAAAGAAATGAGAGAACAAAGGAAACACTATATATAGATTTCAAAAAAGAAAAAGGCATAGTTAATAGATGCTCCTCTTCCTTTCCATTTGTTTCCTCAACCCCTAATTTATAAATATTTACACATTATATAGAACATTAGCGGATGTTAATGACTTCTAATTAAGTCATAAAACTATTCCATATTACATTCAAAAAGTTTCTACATATTATCTTAATGTGGTGTATAAAACAATCCAGTATCTATACCAACCCCATACTGTAAATAAGAGTTGTGGTTGAAGAACAAACCAAGTTGAAATGAAACACCTGGTAGATAATTATTAGACCATGTGGGTATTAATTTTGTTAGAATCACTGTGTGCGGAAGATAATCCTTACCTCCCCTGAGAAAATCTTTCTCGTAGTTGTACTTGCTGCTAAGCCCAGAAAAGTAAACCCTGTTTGCTATAAATGATAGCTTACTTTCTTTTATCTATCAGAATCCAAACTTTGTTTCAATTTCACCATAGCGGAACTTGGAATGACTTTATACAGCTTTGTTTGGTACACTAATGCTGATCTTTCCTGCTAAAGAAAGATCTAGCCTTAGTTATGAATCGCATGGTTTGAGGTTAGACTATAATTTAGTCTGTACAAAAATAAAATACTATTTTCCTAATAATTTTAATTAAATTAATAATTCAATAAAACACAGTATTCATAATTATAATAGTAAACATTGTTATGGAAATAATGTAGAATTTTAAGGAGCTAGAATTTATTGTGGTCATCATGCACCACTTGTATTTGAGGGGGAAACTATACTACCCTTTTAATAGTCAAATGCGTTGTCCATCCTGTATCAAATTCAATCTCCTAATAGAGCTTTTTAAGGAACAGAAATGCTTAAAAGAGCCAATAAATAATATAGTTTGGCCCACAGTCACACTCTGTGCAAGCAGATTTAATCTATAAGTTCTATAAAGATCAGGAAGCATAAAGTAATATGTTCTGGCTTATTGCTCTATATGTCATTTTACTTAGCACCTTACAATGTCTCCTTTAATCAGGTCCGAGATCTGAATCCTGCTTAATAAACATTAGATCATCACTATAAGAATAATTGGGGCTTAATTTGCCTGGTGTAGTGAGTCCCTAGTCCGAATTATTTACTAATACATTACATTGAACTTAATATATTCTGAGCAATATTGCAACTTGATTGAAAGGTAGCCAACCACACCCATTTTATTATGCAGCAGGACATTTTTTTTTTCTGAACAGATTGTTTGAGTAGAACGTGTTAAATTGTGGCCCTCCTACGTTTCTCATGCATTATTTCTTCCTTTCATCCCTAGATGATCACAGAAAAGAATAAACTTGTAGAGTTGTATCATTACCCAGGATATCATGAAGAGGAACTCACACCACTGCCCAACGGAATAGACCTGAATGAAATTTTGGAGAAAGTGATTCGTGCTCAGAGTAAAACTGTAGTTGGGAAGGTAGTTCAGACCTTTAGGTTTATATGGCAATACTCTTATCTTCTGGGTAAAAATAGTAGGGATAGATTAATTGTATATTTACTTGTTTTAATGTCTATTAGCACCTGATATTTATAAGTAGCCATAATGCCCAATGGTGGTGATTACACAGGGTTTTTGGTTTTTTCCTTGCTCAGCTTCAAGTGAGTATAGTAGATCTAGTTACTTTTCTAAATAACAGAATATCTGGACATAGCCACTTGATACGAACAAAAGAGTAGCCCAGTTATATGGGATAAAGGTTGTCTGTGCTTCTCCAGATTTCATCTTCTCTTATGTCTTATTATGAATAAAAATGTTCTTAGTGAAATGTTTGTCATTAATCCAGAAGTGGAAATTTCAGGTCAGAGATCAGAATAGAAAATCAAGGAACAACTTTTGCGATTTACAGATTGAGATGAAACCAGTTTTATAGTTTGAATGGATTCAGTTGAGAGCATGATCTTAATTATTCTTTTTAGGTTTTAACTATGCTTACTTATTTAGATTAGTTCACAGTTTGGAGAGCTGAGATTCAAGATAACTTAAACCTCTTGCTATGATTGCTTAATATAGTTCTGATTAGGCCCCCTAGGTCCAAGGTAAAACAGGATAACGGAGTAAATATATCATAAAATATTCTTTCCAGTTAGTTCTGAGCATATTTTGACTAGTAGTTCCCAGCTTACTTCCTCCAGAGGTACAAGATAGCTAGTCCCATTATTGGCAGGCTTTATCCATGCATAGAGGGAAGTCGGGGAATTGCAGTTCCATACTTGTGGAAAGATCATAACATGAGAGGAGACAGATCTGGACTCGGCTGTTACTCTTTTGTTTCTTTACAGACGAAATGGGCTGTGAAAATGCTGCATAGGTTTTTTGACACTCCATGTTCCCGAGCTGTTTTGCTGGATAGTTTCTGGTGGCAATTCCTGCACTTGTATCATGTAAGGATAAGGGATGGTTATTGATTAGATTGTTAAAATTCATTTGTCCAGTTTTTCATTTTAGGTTCACCATTTTTATATTGTTCCACTTGTTTTAAAATAATGGTATTCCAAATTTAGCACCATCTATTTATCTAATAGGTTCTATATAATATAAATTATAATAACCTGTTTAAAATTTTGAAATATTGGCAAAGAAAAACTATAACAATTTTTTCAAGTTTTATAACTTATTGCTTTAATTTGGGTTTTTGCATTAAGAGCACCACAGGTAGTCCTCGACTTACAACCATTTGTTTAGGGACATTCAAGTTACAATGGCGCTGAAAAAGTGACTTACGACTGTTTTTCACACTTTTGACTATTGCAGCATCCCCATGGTCATATGATCAAAATTCAGACACTTGGCAATTGTCAGTAGACTGTTCTAGGGTCATGAGATCACCTTTTGCAACCTCCTGACTAGCAAAGTCAATAGGAAAGCCATATTCAATTAAACATCATGTTACTAACTTAACAACTGCTGTGATTCACTTAACAACTGTGGCAAGAAAAGTCATACAATGGAGCAAAACTCACTTAACTGTCTTGCTTAGCAATGGGAATTTTTGGCTCAATTGCAATTGTAAATCGAGGATTACGTGTACTGACCTAAGTGTTCTTTCTAACTCTGTGATTCTGTACCATGTAGTGTTAATTAATGTTAACAACGATGTTAACAGTGAAGCCAGTGAAGTACATATTTATTGTATTCACTAATACATTATGTTAACAATTTTGTAGGGGGGAGAGAAAAAGTCATATCTGTTCATATATCTCAAAAATATTGAATATTGCAATTCAAGGGCATCAAACTTACAAGATTACTACCAGGATAACGCAAGAGGAGAGGGTCAGATCATGTCTGTCTGTCTATCACATTTTTGGAAAATCAATACAGTATATGATCCTTCCCCCCCTTTCCCTTCTCTTTCCTTCCTTCCTTCCTTCCTTCCTTCCTTCCTTCCTTCCTTCCTTCCTTCCTTCCTTCCTTCCTTCCTTCCGGCTTCCCCAGTGACTTTGCTTGTCAGAAAGTTGCAAAAGTGAACATATGACTCTGGGACACTGCAACCATCATAAATATGAGTCAGTTGCCAAGAGTCTCAATTTTGATCACGACCACGAGGATGCTGCAACGTTCATAACTGTGAAAAATGGTCATAATAGCACTTTTTTTCAGTGCTATTATAACTTTGAATTGTTGTAAATCAAGGACTATCTGTACTTCTTAGAGGCAGTCCCATTTTATCTAACAGCAGTACGCTTTTACCCTAAGCATCTTGTAACTAGTTTTCCTTCCTAATATTCCATTGCCATGACTCTGTGGTTAAATAAAAATGCCTTCAATAATCCTGTAATTTATAATTCTCCCAATAGCCAAATCAAGAAATTCAGGGGCACTTGTTTGAACGCATTGCAGAAAATTATGCCCTCATTCTATTAGGTGACCACAGGGCTTCCAACCAGGAATGCATCCTCAAGGTGAGTAAAGATTTTAAGAAATACAGCAGTGTTTTTCAACCACTGTGCCGCGGCACACTAGTGTGCCGTGACATAGTGTAAGGTGTGCCCTGGGAGAATTACTTTATATATAGGCACAGAGTTAAATTTTTTTAACATTTTCTAATGGTGGTGTGCCTCATGATTTTTTTCATGAAAAAAGTGTGCCTTTGCACAAAAAAGGTTGAAAAACACTGAAATACAGGACTATAATCCCTATTAATCTTAAGAGTGATATGGTCTAAGTTTTAAAAATTCAGGAAGAAGTTTTAAATGTAAGGGTTAAAACTGGGACAGTACTGAATATTAAACTCTGGTTTCTTTTTCAATTATCAACTTATGGCTTCTTACTGTGTAAAAATTTGTGCCATCTCTTCTGATTTCCAGTTACTGCTAATGCTTCCTCCTCCTGGAAAAATTAGATAAAAATAAAGATGAACTTAATCTATGGATTCTTTTTTCATAAAGTTGTATTTCTGGCAACAACTTTCCTCTGTTACGGTAATTATTTCTAGGATCTGGTTTTCAAGGAATATGGAAGTTCACCTAAATGTGAAAGTTCTCTCTAGTTTTCATTAATACCATTGCAGTATCTATGTCATTGTTTCTCAACCTTGGGGACTTTAAGTCCTGTGCTATGCTGGCTGGGGGAATCTGGGAGTTGAAGTCCACAGGACTTAAAGTCACCAAGATTGAGAAACACTGATCTATGTAATTATCTACATATTTTTACTGTCATTTAATCATCCAATGGTATATACAGACAACTTCTATCCTTACCCTTGTGGCAAGCTATGGTTTTGAGAACTAAACTAGATGCAACATCACCATTTGAATAATTATGCAATGATTTCTATTATGCAAAGAAATCATTTCTCAAGCCTACACACAGAAATCTTCTTAGTTTGCACCTGAGCGAAACTAGATAAGATTCAACAGTATTCAAGGAAGGAAGTTTGGACCTCACCTTCAGGCCCACAAAGAGATTCTAGACTAAGTCCCCATTTGACTCTTTTGCCAGGTTCTGCCAGTTCTCTCCTATAGAAGGTTAGGAGAAAATGACAATTTTCTGCCAATCATTATACTTCTAATTGAGGGACTTTTGAAAAGATTTTGAGGAGTTTTGATATTCTTATAACACAGGTTGAGAATTAATTGACTGGGAAAATTAAATTCTCAAATACAATTGCCTTAAATTTCTTTGAGATTTTCTCCCACGCCTGCTTTATTTGATTTTGTAGTTTTTTCCATCACTACTGAGTCAAGCTGTGTACGTCTCCTTCTGCTCCTGTTTCCCGAGGTCCTGGTTTAATACTTCTGAATTCAAGACGCAGCTCTGTAATGTATTCTTTGAGTGGCTGGGAGGTGAGATGCCATCGTATCCTTACTCAAGGAATGGATCATATAGGTTTTGACCAAGAATTCATATTTTTTAAAATCATGTGGTATTTCAAAACATGAAGTATCACTGCCCCTCAATTTATTTTACTCATCCTAGATAGGAACCAAAGGGTGAATCTACTACTTGCATCTTCCCAAAAATAGTTTTTAAAACTATTGCAACAAAAATGTTGATTCTGGCATAGGTTTTGTGAACTAGAGACCAAAATGTGCCATAATAACAATTCTTTAAAATGTTTTAAGATTCTTTGTTGCTTCAACTAAGTTTCCAAGTTTAATAAAATTTGTATGCCGCTCACTCCCATTGGGACTCTGGGCGGCTCACAACAAGACAAAAAAACATTTAAAATTTAAAAATAGAAAATACAATATTAAAATTC